AGCCAATCACCAAATGCCAAGCAAACTCTGGGCTCTACACTTTTCTCTGAACCCTTGTGAATGGAGATTGCCCTCTTCGTGTTTGGAAGTTTGTTTGGATAACCTAGATTTTGTCATCTTTAATCATTTTAGTTTGCAGACTTGTCTTAGTCTAGTTAATAGACTATTCTAGGCCAAAATATTTTTGATGCAAAGATGTCTTGGCTGCACATATGGGGCTAGCCGAACCCACAACAAATCAAATTGAAAACCCCAAAGCTGACAGTAGCAGCAACTTATAATTAGAACCAAGGGATAATAGCAGTGACTGAAAACCATACTCAACCATTGACAACGCTGATGCTCCATCACCTTCCCAAGGATTTCAGGAGTTTCTGGTACCTGTGGGGGTATCCAGGCTTAAGACACTTTATGCTGCTGTCCAGCACTGTCTAGTACCCAAGCTGCCTAGGAGACACTAAATTAGTATACAGCAAAAGTATCAACATAATTTTAATTAAAATACTAAATTTGAGAAATCCTTTATAAACTCATGTATCTTGCTTACCTTAACAGTAATTTGTTGACTTCCATTTCTACTAGTGCCTATTAAGTCATTTAACTTGTAAGTTTTTTGGATTGGTTTCACAGCCCACTGAAAGATGGTATTGGTCCAAGTATTAAAATGGAATCTCTGAACTAGTATATTCTGCCTTATGCAATAGGATAGAGGTTGTATTTGAATCAAATATAGAAGGGAATTTGATTTCTGTAAGCCTCTTCAAAGTATACTCTATAGTAGCAAATGAGAAAAAGAAAAAGAAAGAAGAAATCCTCCTGTAATATGAATGCTAGAACCTTTATTTGGGGCTTTTTCAATCCCCTCATTGGTAAATGCCTTACACAATCAGATGAGAGAACCAGCATCATTCCAAAGCATGGCACCTGGTGACTCACCGAACTTGTTGCCACTCCTCCTCTTTCTTATTAGGAACACCCTGATTTTCTTTGGGAAAATGCCACTTCTCAGGTCCAGTACAATCCCAAGGGTGAGACGTGCAGTTAACTCTGGTTGATCCTTATGTTCTAACCCCTCCCCACAATGACAACTGGGCTTCAGTCATTGGTTCCTGACTGAATTCTCTGGTTCATTTTTCTTGGGGTTAAAGGCAGTAGAGAACATGGGTAAAGAATTCACATTCACAAGTATCCTCGTACATGGCAGAGGATATTAAAATAGCTTTTCCTCCACACCTCATTTGAAAATGTGGTAATGACTGAATTTCGCTAAATGTTTAACTTATAACTTCTAAGGATTATTTTTTTTTGGACTCAAATTAAGACTTTATATTCTATTTAAAAACTCACTTAAGAATCAATCCCCATCAATGTAAGATCTATTAAATATTCAAAAGTGAGTCTTTAAAATAGTTGTAATATCTGAGAATCTAAACTTCCTGAAATTTATAGGTGAAATTAACATATGTAAAATTTCAAAGTGACTTGTAGAAGTCCCCACTCTCTGTGTTTCTTCCCTCTTCCTATACATTTCAGACAAGCAGACTTTTTCATGGCATCTTTGGTTCTCCTACTTCCAGGGGGCTGGGTTCTTTTGGAGGGTGGAATCAGTGATTGAATGTATTTATCACCTCTTCCTTCCTGTTTGCCAAATTAAGTTTTTTGCTTTATCTTTTAAAGCTGGTGAAATACATCTGTTAGAATTTCTAAAAAAGTTTTCCTATTTCCAAAAAAGTTTATGGACTCTATCAGTTTTATAGAGGGACACACAAAGGTAGGAATTTGTGAGATTCAACTAGTTAATATTCTACTGAATGACATATGGTAATCTTTCCATTAAAAATTCCTTGTTGTGGTAAAATATTCACAGTAAAAATCTATCAAAGCTGATTTTTTTTTATTAAAATCAAAGCACCAGTTGACTCCCCCACAAATGGAAAACAAATATTACTGCCTCATATATTCTTCACAATAAGCAAAACCTTCATGGGGAGAGAAATCTGTGATCTGACTGGCTAGCAGTATTCTCACTCAAGAACATGAGCCACCACCATGTGAATTATGACAGTAAGTTCACACTCAAGGTGAAGGGGCAATATATATAAAAAGACACGAACCGTTAACTTACACAAGGTTATAAAATACTTGAAAAAATATGTATGTGCATGGTTATTTACAAGGACGGCCTCTGTTTCACTAAGAAGTTAGACTATGACTATGTCCATAATTTTAAGGGCCAATCAGGTCACTCAATTTCTCTCATTTGTAACAGATACAGATAAGCAGGAAATAAGCACATCTTCTGTTTTAACCCAAAAACCTTTTGCTCCCACGCAGCAACCTACTTGTGGGATTCAGGCCTTGCCAAACGGAGTTCTCCTTTCACTGTCTAGTCCCTCCACAGAACCCGAACTTAAAAGCTTAAAACACCGTAACAGCAGACATCTGAAATGCAAATTCGTTAAGTGGAGCAATCAATCGTATACTCACCCTTTCGACATGGAGTGAATCTTCATAGGACATCTGTACAACTGTGTAGTAGTAAAACGTGGACCCTATTTAGCTTGGAAAAGAAGGTAAAACTACCAAGGCAAGAGGACACTTTTTTTTTTTTTAAAAAGCACCTTTCAATTTTCTACCTTTCCATTCAGGAAAGATAAGCAGGGCCTGTAATTCAAAGGACAAAATATGTGCACTACCAGATGCTGGTGCACAACAGCATTTTGAACTGAATATGGTACATACACCCCCCCATCCATTTATACTTCTGCCAAAGCCACGCACATCACTGACTGTGTCCTGGGCTTCTTATTGCCAGAAAGATCAGGTGCTTCAAACCTAGGAAAGCTTTCGATGGGTTGGACTGAGTAAATTCTAGCTCCCCAGGGCCTGCTCATCGCGTGATCACGTTCAGCACTGGGGGCCTTACAACTATGACATGAGGCTATTGGCTCTAAATCCAGAGGGCAATCTCCTGGAGTTTTTGATCAGAGGTAAACACTGGAGTTTTTTAAGTTTAGCTCAAGGTTGCTTGAATTGCACTGACCTTCTGGGAGAAGGCTCTCCAAGTGAGCGTGAGGTATAGTCAGACTCATAGCTTACTTCCATTATAATTTAAGGACTGCTTTGCCGGGATCCACCTGGGCACACAGGCGCTTGTTAATAAGGTCACAAGATGTTAATTTTAAAAACCATTAAGAAAATACTATTTGGAGAGAGAAACACAACATATATTATGTATGATTATAGGAAAGATGGTTTTTCAGCTGCCTTTCATGGAGCAAAATAATGATAAAGGTGAAAGAGAAATACTGTTTTAAAAGACTAATATGGCATTGAATATATCAGTGAAAGGTCTGGGTACATTAGTAGACATTCTGGCTCAAACATTTAGGAAATTATAATTTTTCTCTCTTAAGTGCTACTTCCCTTTGTGATCATCCTCAAAACTTATGTGTTGCCCTGCTTTTACTCAGGAGATAAGTATGGAAGAAGAAACTGTCAGAAGAACAGTATTCTAAGATAGCAACAATAAACTCATTAGCAAAAAGACAATTAAGTGGTATATACACTATTAGCAAAATTTGCTCAAGTCTTTGGAGAATAAATGTCAAATGCATATTCAAAACAATACAACAGCAACTACCCTGAAAGGCATATTTGGAAAGGTGATTAAGACTTTTTAAGCATTAATATATAATTGACATATTATGGACTAGACCCAGGTCCACACAGAAAGTGAGACACTATTGCCAGTAAGTTATTTTCTCGTTTTATCTTTAGTGATATCTGAAAACCCAATGACTTAGCCACAGAATATTTTCAAATTGTCCATTTCAAGAAGTAATGTCATGTAGATAAAAGCAAGTCCTCTAGGTTTAATTCATGGGTGATGACACTATCCAAAGAATAAAATTCTTTCAAGTCAGCTATATTTTTATCCTGTCGGCCTAAAGAGAAAAACTTCCTCAGCCAATTAATGTTTTCTAAATAAAGGCGTACTTTGTCAAACTAAAAAAGTCCATGTGTAGATACTCTGTCAAATGTTAAATTAGCAACTGGCACAACAATTTTCTTCTATCTTAATCCATTTTCCTTCTTTGACACTGAACAACAAGTAAAAGGAATACATGAACGTCAGTTAAACCAGCTAGGTCTGACCCATTAAGAATATGCTTGCCCTCAGAAGATGGGTCTTTTGTATCTCTATCAAGAGAATGAAAATGAAATCCTGAATTAAGCTGGATGAAAGACTCAATTTGAGGTTCTGACACTGAAAAACAGGAAATAGATGCTTCAGAAAATTTTAAATGTCACTATAATTCCCTCCAATTACCTGCTACCAAATTGCACAACACATTTTCATTCCATATTATGAAGACAGATGAAAACCACAGAACTGGTCCCTTTCAGGGGGAATTTATATTTAATGCCCAACAGGGTGTAAGTTGAAGAATACTCACATCAAATATGGCACACACTGCTGTATTTCATATTTTGGGTAGTTCCACTAAAAGCCATAGTGCAAACAATGAGTCTTGTTATAAAAGGATCACCTGCACAGCTAAAAAACAAACAACAAACCACACAGACACACAGCAAAACCAAATGTGTACACTTACTTCCTCAGTGGAAGAAGTTAGATTTAGAAATGTATGAAAAATGGCCTTGAAAACCTGCTATACCAAACACCTCTACAGACAAGAAAAAAACAAAACCAAAAATCAAACATTTGTTTTCCTGCTTTTCCTTTAATACAGTCGCCATCTTACATTATGTACTATTAGGTGCCTTCTTCATAGCATCTAATCTACTTTTTCGTCGCACTGCTGGACATCCTAGGATAGAACTCTTATCACCACTCATATTCATGGAGCACTGCTCTTACGTACAGTACACCTAACTCATGGTTGGTCCATAATTAATGGGTAGTGGTATTTTCTAAAAATGGATTAACGCACACATCCAAACCACGTTAAAATTTCAACTTAGGGTTCATACAAAGTCTATCTCCTTCCTATAGTAGCTACCACTCCATTTTGCAGTTTGAAATCCAGTAAGTGGGGAGAATGTCTTTTTATTTTGTTGTTGATGCTGCTTCTTTCTTCCTTTCTCCTTCTTTCCCTCTTTTTCTTTCTTTCTTAATAAGAAGGTTAAAAGAAATGGATTATCAAGGAAATCAAAGTCTAGTAAACATCAAAAACTTAAGAGTGGTCACAAATTCTTCTTGGTAATGATAATTAAATTATTGACAAAATGTTTTTTGAAAACAAACAAATCTAAAAACCAGCACACGCCAACGGCGCTGCTTATTTAAGCAACTGGCGTTCCTCTATGCTTTTGAGGCGTTTCTTCCGGGGCTGTACAAAGTCATCATCTGAGTCATCACTATATTTATTATCTTCAGATTCATTCCTGAATTCTGGTTTAGGAAACCTTTTTTCTGGATAAAGATTCTTCAGAAGTTCTTCAAAATAGCTTTCAAGTTTCATACCAGCATTGGCTACTTCTGAGTCAGGCTGTTGAGTAAAAATTAAAATATAAATAAAGAAAAACATTTTAAATAGTCAACAAAAGCAGTAGATTTCTCACATTTTTGTTCCCTTTTACCTCAAGATTATGAATATCAGTGGGTTGTTTGGGGGAAAATGTTTATGGATAGCACTGATACAAAGCCAATAGTCTGGAGCTAGACA